GTGTGTTGTATCTGTTTTTACCATTATCTCTTTTTGATATTTGCCAAAAGGGTAGAAATGGTTGTGATATTATCATGATATTTACATGCATTAAGTGTTTAATGTAAGGGGAGCTAGATAGCTCAAGATTTCACGTTAGTATCATCAGTTGTTGTGTGTTGTTCCATAAGTCAGACATCCATTTCATCTCGGATCACAAATAAAAAATTTCAACGATCACTCAAATCAAATAACAATAATATCCCAAGTTTTCCAAACATCAAAAAAAGAGAGACCAAAATTGCATTGTAGTTGATATTATTATTTTGATGTTCTGTCAATTATATTTTTATGTGTATTTGTAATTTTATTTATCGCTTGTATTATTTGTTTGTAATTTGCATGTAATATTATGCCTCTTGTTAGATATGTATCTTAAATTGCCTCTCTATTTAATTTACTAGTTTTGGATCCATAATAATGTGTTTTTAGCCTTTTTTTTTTTTTTACAATTGGATGGAATTTAAAATATTGAGTATTGCTTGAAACTTATGTTAAAATTCCTAAACCGGGGTTTTCGAAAGTCTTAATTAGAATAAGATATGCTTTTATTCAAATCAGGGACTTACTTGGAAGTGAATAATTTGACTATGACAGTCTCGTTCGAATACAAAAAGTCCGTGATTCAAATCAAAAAGCTTTAAGACTCGAATTATAGGATTGGTGATTCGAATCAAAGTCATCCAAACCAAACGTGATATGAATCTCATATTATTTGATTCGAATCACACATCCAGAGTTGATTTAAATTACTAGTAACAAACTTTTTTACTTTATTACCTTGATCCGCTTCATTTTTTTTAATTCAAATCATAATTACTAGTAACAAACTTTTTTACTTTATTACCTCAATCTCATTGTTCCTCTTCTTTCTTTTTGTGTCTTACCTCTAATACCTATTTAAACCCTTTTTACATTTTATCATAAAAATATTGTTGACATTGTTGGTCAACAACACTTATAAATCATAAGTGGTGATCACAATTGAAGAAAACCTCATGATAAGCCATTGAATGTTTCTGTTTTGAAAACTCCAAAATTCCATCTAAACCCAACCAATCTTTGTCAAAAAACTTGAGAGAAATCATGAATTAATTTTATCTTTCGCCAATCAATTATCTCTGAAATTCAACCTTGTGAGAAACATCCTGAAATATTGAAAGTGTGAGAATTATGTAGTTGTATTTTGTGATATTATTAATATATTATTCATCATCTTTAATCTCACTCCAAGAAACCATTATTATGGTTCTTAACTATAAAAATTGTGTGTGAGAGGTAGATTTTGATACATTAGGGGATCTAATATTTTGTGTGTGAAGTTTTATTGTTTATATCATGATAAAGGTCATTTCTTGTTCATTGTTGCTTGATGCTTGACATTAAAGATAATAGTTTTTGCTCATACTCCAAGGAAGATTTTGGTGGATCATGTAAAGGTTGTCGCTGAACAAAGTTAGGAGTTATCTTTATTCGGTGATAGAACAATTGCTTAGACAAGACTTTGTCAGATTTGAGTAAAGGATGCCGCAGAATAGAAGCTTGGAGTAAATCATTAGGTATATAAAGATTTTTTTTGGATTAAGAACATTGAAGATCTTGAATATTAACAATTGAGTAATCTGCATCAACAAGAAGAATTATTGTTTTTAATTTGAACTGTGTTTGCTAAAGTATTGGATTGTTAATGTTTAATTTAATAATAATTCATTATACTAAAATACTTATACCTTTAAATTTTATTATAATGGACGATGTTAGTGTTTCCTATGATTTACATCATCGAAGAGTAGAGTAGGTATAACGAGGAAGAATTGTCAAACCACTATATATCTTGTGTACATTCTTTTATCAACATCTATTTACTTTATGCATTATATCATGTATGTGAAGCATAATTCATCATTATAATATAAGTATATGTCGTGATGCATTTAATTTGATGAATATTTGTCTCTTAAATCAAAAGTATATTGACTCTAAATTTATGGATTTAAATTGCTTGCTAAAGAAACTTCAAGTGTATTTGAGTTAATGATTTTGTTTGATCTCTTGTTTCTGTGATAATAATATATGATATTGAATCCATTTACTGCATTTTGTTTCCGCTCATTATCTTTTGCTCCTGTACCTTAACTCTGATTTTTTAGAAAGAAATCATTTTGAATTTGATATTTTTTAAGGAGAACTGTCTATTCAACCCCCATCTATACTTTATTGTATTTACATTCTCATCCAATATTAATGTTCTTGTTGTTGTTGATAAAATGGATAGTTTATAAATATAACTTAACAATGTATTCTAATTTAATATAAGTGTATATTTATTACAATATATGCATTTGGAAAAAAAGTAAAAAGAGCCCGTGAAGAAAAATATATGAAAAAAAAGGTCGGTGTTCTTTGATCTATCGATATTGATCTAGCTTTGACGTAAGATATTTTCTTGATGTGGTGTATGTCGAGAAAAATATGTGTAATAGTTTGATTGAAATACTTCTCAATATTCAAGCAATGCAAAATATGGTAAGAATTTATATTTAGATATGATGAAGATGGGTATACGACAAGAGTTAGCCCAAGAAAAAACTGGTAAAAGAAGACATTTTCCTCTGTATGTCACACTCTGTCTAAAAAAGAAAAAAGAAGAAGTTTTTGCAAGTGTTTGCACAATATCAAAGCTCCCCAAAGATTCTCAACAAATGTAAAGAAACTTGTATTAATGAAATATCTCAAATTAATTGGCTTAAAATATCACGATTGTCATGTCTTGATGCAACAATTTTTACAAGTGGCTATTCGTGACATCTTGCCAAAAATTTAAGAAAACTATAACTAGATTGTGATTATTCTTCAATGTCATATGCATAAAGTCATTGATCCATACAAATTATAAGTTGGAACATGAGGTTGCAGTTATCTTGTGCCAATTGGAGATGTATTTCTCTCCATCATTTTTTGACATTATAGTTCACTTTATTGTTTATCCAGTCGTGGGGATTAGATTTTGTGACTCAATTTATTTAAGGTGGATGTATCCAATAGAGCAACACATGAAGACATTTAAAGGGTATACAAAGAGAATTATCACTGTCTGGAAGCTTCGATCGTTGAAAGGTACATCACAAAAGATATTGAGTTTTATTCAAGTTTTTTGTCAAAAACAGACTTTATAGGAATTCTCAAGTCTCGTCATGATGGAAGATATGAAGGTAGATGTTATGTTTAAATGTTAAGTCAATGCCTCGAGATGTAGTTCTTCAAACACATTTGTATATGTTGAATTACATTGATGAATTTCAATCTTAGTTATCCCTTCGATTGACAGATCCAACTAAGAAAAAAATGGTGTAAGTTTTAGTGTTTTACCTCGACCGCTGGTATAAGGGAGAAAATAGCACATTTTCTATGTCATATTATTACTTGAAATTTAGTAATAATTATATTCAACACTTAAAATCTCACATTTAAATCCACGCCCTCGTATTTTATGTCTATGTATTTTATATTTTTGCATACCTATCAATTGAGTTGATTTAACGAGACAAAATTCTATCTAATTTTACTATTAAAAGCTCACATTAAAAAAATATTATGCTCACTTAAAATCTCCTATTTAAAAAGTGCACCATTTACTTTGAATCAAAATATATTCTAACTGATTTTTTTTTAATGATAAACTCAAATTAAATTTGAAATAGATCTAATTCCTATGAGTTGAGTCGAACTAATAAGTTCAACCTATATCTATTTTTTTCAGCCCTATTTGTTATGCTAAATTGCCTTCCTTTATAAAAAAAAAATAGTTAAAAGGGATGGACACACCCATTCATAGTGGGATAACATTATTGCATGCCAATTGACTGCCCTAGAGTCGAACTTAATCATATCATATAAAGAGTGTTTGTACTATATTATCGATCAATTTTAAAGATGGTAATTAACAGTTTTATAACTTTAATTTGAAATATTCAAACATTTTCCTACATTTCAAGTGTAATTCCAAATAAGATATAGTGTTGATTGTCCTAAAAATAAAATAGGCGTGGATTTGACAATCTCTCCCAACATGTCCTATTATTAATATTTTAAACTGATCCCTTACATGAGTGACTATAATGAATATTCACGCTTATTAATTAATATAATCTTTCCTTTCAAAATTCTAATCACTAGTATAAGACCCAATGGGTAAGTGATTTTCCTTACATTTAGTAATTATGAAATTTTTTTATGTTACAAAGCTTTTAGCTATATTTTTCAAACAGAAAATATAAATTAGACTCGTAGCTAGAATTATAATCTACAAAATTCAATAAAATAAATGTTTAATACTCTTTTAACACGACAGTGCAACATCTCTATCCTAAAGAGCATGAATATGGATATGCCTCCATTTGACCAAAGCATCATTAACATTATTTTTATTAATAAAGTTATATTATAGATATATAAAAAGTTAATTATGTCACCACTTGTAGAAATATGAATTTTTATATACTCAATTTTCAGTAAAAGAAAAAAAGACCCATACAAAATATTATATCAAACCAAAAAGGCATGACTAGTAGTATATACCCTATTTCAGTTTGTATACGAACAAGAATCCAAAGGGAGTTAAACCTATATTATAACACTATAGATCACATGTTCATACTACTTCCAAAGTTCCAACTCATTCTTTTCCAAAAAAGAATTTCATATCTGATTTAAACCTAACTTTCAATCTGATTTATGTAACAGTTATGCTTCCTTAAAGAAAGCATCACTGGTTCATATTTCAATACTTAACAGTAATATAACTAATTCAATAAGAGAAATGAAAACTAAACCAGTTTCTTATCCTAACACCATAAACACACTCAAATCAACATACAGTTTCAAAGTGCAGATCAATAGAAACAAAAAAAAACAAGATCTAAGTTTAATTAACACTAAAACAAACACTAAAAACGAATTACCTGGAACTCGCAAACTCGTAGAGTTTCTCAGTGCTGGAGAAGATTATAACTCCTACTTCAGCATCACACAAAATTCCAAGCTCCTTCGCCTTCTTCAACAAACCGTTTCTCCGCTTCGAGAACGTAACTTGCCTGCTCGTAGAATTATCAATCCTCCTTATCACGATCTTTCCTCTCCCCATTCAAATAAACCCTAACAAACCAGAAAAACACAGATCAAGCGAATCAGAACTTCAATTTCATCAACATAACAAAAAACGTGAAAATCAAAAGTATCAACATGAAAATAAAATCTAAAGAACGAAAATCGCAAAACGTAGATCCTGCGAGAGTATAGATAATATCGCAGTTTCGTTGTTGCAGTTCAATACACAAGAGAAAGAAGCCGAAAATGGAGGAAAATCGGATCAAGTTTCAGAGAGAAAGAAAATCTAGAGATAGAAAAAAAATCTAGAGAGAGAGAGAAAGCTTACTGGTGCGAAACGCGTTGGTTTGTTATAACAGAAAAGCGAATGAATTGCCATGAGTGAGAATAGCTATATAAGGAAAGTGATGAGACTAGTTTTGGTTGGTGGATTGAAAACCAGAGTAGAAAACAAGTAGTGGTATTTGCAGGAGTAACACGTGGACCAATGAGAGATTGACATCTCGGAATCGATTGGGTCCTTTTATTCGTTTCTTGACGTTCGTGTCGATCACCGTTGCATTGTTGACGCGTGGTGTTAAGATTATGCATGCCGTAGATGAGCACATTATTTCCTTTTTTCGGAAAACAAATGGCGCTTCTTTCAAATAAGCGAGACTGTGTCGCGAACGTGCACTCGCGCCAAGTATATTGTCTGATTTGCCCCTTCGTATATTTGTCATGTTGCTGCTGACAATAATTAGATTTTTTAATTTTTTTTTATAAGTTATATTTTTTTTGTTTTAATTTTGATCCCTATTATATAAAAAAACATAATTAGTTATAAGGCCTCTTAACTTAATTTTATTTTATTTCAGTTTTTTATTTAAAAAATTATATGTTAGTTTTTTAAAAATACTTATGCTAGTTAAATTGGTTTTTTCTGTCAAATTTTATAAAAAATCACCAACTTCTTCTTATGCGATTTGACAACAAGGCAATTGGTAAAAATCTGAGTCAATAAAATATATTAAAAAAATTGATATCTTGTTTAAACTGGAGTGATTTTGTTTTCAGAGGTTAAAAATCTCGTGAATGGTTAATAATATGTAAAAAAAAATAACAATAATTCTTCTGCAATTATACATCATGGATTCAATGAAATCCAAACCTACGACATGTAACTCCAGAAAACACAATAAATTGATGATACATGTCTGTTCTTTTAGAATTCATGAACCCAAACAAAGACAAACAAGCATATCTACACTGTAGAGAATCCAATCATTGTTCATATTTCACAATCAAACTATTATCCTTTATATTCAAAGAGCTTCATGTATATAAGTTTGTTCTTGTATGTACAAGTATGTGTTCTATTATTATTTCTTGCATTCGTGCATGAGTTAAATGTAAGTATGTTAATTGCATGTACAGTTCTTGTTTTAGTTGAGTTACATGGTATGACAACATTTTCATTTTGGATTGAGTAGTGACATTTTTCCCACTATGTTAGGCACATGCATGTGCGGCATCGGGAGTTCCATTGGATTGTGTTACTGTTTAACTCTGGTTTTGGCAAACAACGTTGGTCTCTTAACAGAAAGTTTACTGACGAGATCGACCAGGAAATCTCAGTACAATGCTTCAATTTTTGAGTGTTTTCACAAAGTATGTTCCAAAGGGTTCGTTCGACTAAGGCAAAACGAATTTAAAAGCAATAAAGCAGGAATTGTAAAATAAAACAAAAGAAGTTTTAAAATGTAAAAATAGATGACATAACATCAAAATAGTTGAAACTGAGTTGATTCAAACGTACATTGCCCTTGCTTGACTCATTTCGCTCGTTCGCTTGGGTACTATGAGTGGCTAGCGTGTAGGAATGTGAAAGTTTGAACCTTTGACACTATGCATTAATTGCTTTATTTATAATAAACAAAAATAACTACTTTTCAACGGGTTTCGCTTCTTTATAAGCCACATGTCTCTTGTAACTTCCCTCCATGAACTCACGTTCTCCATCCCTGCTATTGAACCCACATTATCCATCCCTGCTATCGAACCCATGTTCTCCATCCATATCACTTTGTTTTGCTAGTTATACACTTTTTGGGCTTTCTAACATTCCTGGGCCCAATCTATTCCTCATGAGGCCTCTTTTTTGGTCGACTGCATCCAAAAACCCAATTGACTATTTGTGAAATCTCTCCCGGTCTACTGCTTTTGTAGTCAACTTCCTATAGTTCAAAGTTCTCATAGAACCTTTTTTGCCTTTTGGTTGGATTTTAACCCTTTGTGAAAATCCTAGCCAACAAATTTCCCCCAAAGTGTTCTTTTCGACTGAAAGAACAGAAACAAACATTTTAATCATTTTCTCTTAGTGCAAAGTGACATCATATTAATCATGACTTTTTTCCTCAAACGTTACATCAGGGATCACACAACCACTTCCCTACTTTCTAGCTTCGACTTTCTAGGATAATTATGGCCCCCCAACTAATTAACTCCTTCAACTCAGTTGCCACCTGTTTGACACGTGTCGGTCGTGTAGCCATATTTTTCCCACTTTCTTCCCAAATGTTTGGTTTTCTTGATGGTACAAATACCCCTTTCATCTCTTCATTTTCCTCTCTATATTTTCTCTGCATACTCAAGCTCTTTGTTTTCATACGCAAAAGAAATTCTTACTTTCATTTCTACCCAGAAAAACTTTCCACCATCTTCAATGGCTGCTTAAAGCCAAATCCTTGAGCACATTCATACTCCCCAGGAAATTGAACTGGTTTCTAACATGAGCGAGTTCTTCGTTCATAATCAAAATACCTTCATTTTGGAACCAACGCCAACACGAAATCTCCGAACTTTTTGCTCCCAACTGTTTCTTCCCTTCATCTGTAACAACATTGCTTACGCTTTATTGAGGCCTATTCCTAATGAGATTAGGGCACCTAAACAATTGGAAAATTTCTTCCCCACTCACAAAACTACAAAACCCCTATCAACAAAGATTACCCTATAGATTTTTCACATATCTATCGGACATCTAAAGTCTTCCGCTCTACTCCCACTGTTAACCAAGATTACATTGCATGGTTGAATAAAGTAGAGAAAGTTAAAGGTGACATTTGGAAGGCTCGAGGAATTTTTGACTTGATTCAACTTTCTAGGGTTGGCCCTAGTTATTACAATCACATGTTGATTTCTACACTCTATTTTTGGGAAGGCTCCACAAACACTTTCCATTTTGCAGCTGGGATGCTTACTCCTATCATGTTCAACATTGCAGCCATCACTGGTCTCTGCTCCACGGGTGAAGTGTTATTTCCCACTGAAGCAGACAAAAATATCATCCCTTTTGAAAAGGACGTTGCTGGTTTCAACAAATATATAGAGCGTTTTCACGCTAAAGATACCGACACCGTGTCTGACAAAGAGCACATTCCCTTCTTGGCCTTGTGGATTTCCAAGTATGTCTTCTGCAGTCGACCTCTGAAGGTAGCTAAATGATTCATTGTGTCATCTCATCACCTCCATCTGGGTCGAAACATATGCCTGAGTGAACTTATTTTGGGGTCGCTCTATGAATCACTCAGCGTGGGGGTTGATCATATGACCTCACTTTCATCTACTTCTAGCTATCTGCTTGTTGGGCCTTTCTGGATGCTTTAATTGTGGTTAAATGCCACTTTTACGAGCCAACTCAAATTGCGCCTTTCTAAAGCACATGAGACTACATTTGCCCAACGTGCCAAAAAAGCCTTCGTCTTACTGCAATGACGACTTCTAATAATGACATGACTCGAGAGGAGTCGCTTGATAAATACCTGAAATTTTTCTTTAGGTGCACTTCTTTTCAGCCAAGCATGGCGCCCTTTGCCTCTAGACCACATGGCATGAGTGGTTCACTCGACCATTTCCTTCTGTCAATCCTTTGCAGATCCCTGAATCTAAAGCCATTTGGAAAGCTTTCTTAACCCTTAGGCTCATAGCATCTAGGGTAGGAGCTAATGATGGTGTAACACTTTTGTGATATCAACTTAATATGGTGGCTAGGCAGATTAGCTTGTGCCAACCTTTGCCCTGCAGCTTTTATAAGCCATCAGATGAACTGTGCCTTTCATCCACCAACTACAGTGAGGGAGAATATGCTCAACGACTTTAACATTTTTTTACTGACGTCCCCAGATATGAATTTTGTCGCCTTTTAACCCCTCTTCTACACCACTAAGGAGTTCTATGATTGGTGGAACATGCAATTCATGCAAAGTAATGGGACTCTCAAGTCCTTCAAGGCTCGATTGAACCATGCTTTTGAAGCTATGCAGCAAAAGTTTAGAAAATGTATGACTTACTATTGTGACTGTTAGTTTCCTTCTCGTTCTCCTTCTCGCTTCTTTATCTTTTGACTTCTAACGCTTCGTCTTATGTTATTGCCCCATTCAACGGTTGAGCACAAGAAATGCGCCAGGGAAGCTGTCAGTGGTGCGACTGTTTCTCCCTCAGCTAATGAAGCCCTTGGAACTTCTTCTTAACTAATCTGCTAATTTGATGATTTACTAATTGTTTGCATTCCCTTTCTAACCCTATGATTATGTTGACACATTCGTAGTCCCCTGAAGCTAACATCGTCGTCCCTCCTGAACCATCCCCAAAGAGATGGAAACACTCTTCTAACCAAGAGAAGTGAGCCGACGATGCATCTTCTCCTGTCGTCCCCAAATGATCCAAAAAATCTCAGTCAACTCGATTTGAGGTTGTCTCAAAAAAGGTCACTTCTGCCACTGCGCCTGCTCCGGTGGTAGAAAAAGAATGACTTTTGCAGCCTGCACCAACTCGATCAAAGAGCATTAACTCTAGTCCTGAAGGAGGCCATCAGGTACCTTCTTCTTTAAAGACTCTTTATCTTAGGAATTGTTTGTCCCTTTTATGATTTTTTTCTTACTTGCCTTTATTGTTTCAGCGATTGGAAGTTAAAATTAAAAAACGCCCCACCAAGATTGTCTTGAAATCTTCCAAGACCAAAAAGAAACCAATTATGGTCTTGACTGATAGCGAGCCTTCTAGGAGCGACCTCAACTTTCCTATCACTCAGGGTACTTCTGAATATTCTCCCACCAGTGAAGGATTGGAGGACGAAACCAATAATGATAGTCTAGGGGAGGATATTGGAGATGATGGCCTAAGGGGTCCTGAATAAGCTGCTGTTGTTGACGTCACCATAACTACCAACCAAAATCCTTTCCAAATAGAAGAAGTGACTCCACAGGCAACTGCCTCTTTTGGCACTATTTAGAGCCCTCTTAACGTGATTCCTGCAGCCACCACCATGTCGCCATAACAAGTTGCTGCTCTAAGGCAAAACAACCCTTTTGAGTATTTGAAATTTTTGGTGAACGATAG